CTCCCCCAGCCTACAGGACTGTGTGCAGTGTCAACGGGCCCTTGGTGGTGCTGGACCAGGTCAAGGTAAGACTCCCGCCTCTTCCCCAGCACTCAGGCCAAATCCCAAGACTCCCTAGTCCTGGTGCAGGATTTGCAGGATTTCTTCTAAATTGCCCTGGCCCTAGGTAGCCCCCTGGTCACCCACTCCCACACCTTCCTCCTCAGCTGTCTCCCAGCCCCTCCCCCCCTCAGGTTTCCCCTTCCTGCCTTTTCAGTGGAGGCCCCACCCTGGGCCTTGGGCGGTCTGCTTCTCTCTCCAGGGAGCTGAGGGATCCAGGCACTTGGGCTTCTCTTCATCAGGAGATGGCCACGTCTAACTGCCTAGTAGGGTGGGACTCTCCCACCTGCCGCTCTCCTGGCTCTTTCTATAAACGGAGGAGAAAGAGGCGCAGAGCGCTGCCGCGGGCTCTCCTCCAGAGCCTGAGGCTTTCAGAGGCCTTTGGAATATCTGGGCCTGGGAATCTGCAGCTTGCGTGGGAAGCGAAGGGGGCCTCCCAGAAGGAATGGGATGCGGGCTGCTCTGTGTCCCCTGCGGAACTGCAGGACCGTGGCAGGCACTGGCAGGATTTAGTCCTGTGGTTGGGATTCTTGAGGCATAAGGAGCCTGCAGTGGTGTGGGCCCTCCACCTGTCAGTTGCACACCCCAGCCTCCCTCCTCACTCCCTGCTTGAGCAAACTGGAAACCTGAGGGCTACCCCCTTTTTTTTTGTTAATCCTCACCTGAGGATATTTTTTCCATTGATTTTTAGAGAGAGTGGAAGGAAGGGTGGGAGACAGAGAGAGAAACATCGATGTGATAGAGACACATCGATTGGTTGCCTCCCGCATGCTCCCCAACAGGGGCTGGGAATCGAACCTGCAATTCAGGTGCAGGCCCTTGACCCGGAATTGAACCTGAGACCCTTCAGTGTGTGGGCCAACACTCTAACCACTGAGCCACACTGGGCAGGGCCTGAGTGCCACCCTTGACTCCTCCCTTCCTCCCTTCCCAATCTGTCAGGGCACATGATCTGTCAGCAACCTCCCACCCCACCACTACCTTATTATGGCCATGGCCTCTGGGCCCCTAGCCCTGCACCCTCTCACCCTCCACCCAGCTGCCATGCAGCCCAGACCCCTTCACTCCCGGCTTCAAACTCCCTTAGAGCTCCCCGGTGCCTTCATCTCATGGTGTGCAGGAACCCTTTTGGTCCTATGTTCCAAAAGGGTTCCTGCACACCTTTCCACTCTCATGTCTCATCACTCTCCCTTCTCCACTTCAACCCACACTGTCTCTGTAGCTGCCTTTTGATGTCTCAGGGCCTTTGCATATATGTTTCCCTCTGCTTCCTTGACTACCTTCCCCCCATGCCCTCCATCTGACTCATTCCTGGGGCCAGCCAAGAGCTTACCTTCTCCTCGAAGCCTCTCCCAGCCCCCTGAGCAGTGAGCCTGTCCCTTCTCTCAACTTTGTGTACTGTCTCATTGTCAGCATCCCATCCATTGAGGCATTTGGTTACCACCTGGCCACATGTCGCCTCCCTGTCCCCTTCCCCCACACTGTGGCCTCCTAATGGGCATGAATGGTGTATTATTAATCCTGAGCTCCCAGAGCCCCACACTGCACTGTCAGTGAACACCAGCCCACCATAGGTACTTGGTTTGTTCAAAGGAAGGGTGAGTAAGTGAATGAGATGAATGAATGAATGAATGAATGAATGAATGAATGAATGAAAAGTGTTAGCATAACTAAATATGGACCTTTCAAAACCTGAGCCAACCTATATTAAAGAAATCAGACCCACTCATTTCTGGAAAACAGATTCCACATTCAACAGACATCACTGTTGACCCACTAATGTTGGGGACACCCTGGGAGGAAGTGTGGTGGAGTAGTTATGTGTGTGTGCACTGGGGTCAGACAGTCTGACTCTGGCTTCTTGACTTTTAATGCCAGCTCCATCTCACTCTTTCTGCTGGCTACCTGTCCATTCTAGATCAGCAGCATCAGCACCATCTGGGAACTTGTTAGAAATACAGATTCCCAGGCTCCACTCCCAACTGACAGAATTGGAAACTCTAAGTGTGAGGCCCAGAAGTCTGTTTTTAAAAGCCCTCCGGGTGATCTGATGCTCCCTGAAGTGCAAGAACCATCTATCTAGGATTGTAAATCCCAGTTTCCTCATCTATCAAACCATCATATCGCTGTTGTAAGGATTAAATCAGATAAATGTATAATTACTGTTCCTCCTTGAGATCAGCTAGGAATAGCTCTGCCTGGAAGGCAGAAGTGCTAATATGCCTGATTAAACAGGTGGCGCCATCTCCTGCCCCTCGCTCACCTCCACCACACTCCCTACTATACCTGTCAGTCTATAGGACCCACTGCCAAACGGAGAGTCAGTACCTACGCAGACACCCATTTTCTCAACTGTAAAATGGGGCTGGACTAGGAAACTGGAAATAGATCCCCAGACCTGTGGTTCTATGATGATCGCATGCATCTGGAACTCTTGCAGAACAGAATAACTGGGTGATGGAGATACCCAGAGAACCCTGGGCTTGCAAGGGGAAGGAAAGGAAATGGCAGTTTTAGTAGAAGTTCAGAAGGCACTTTCATGCACCCCTCTTCCCCGGCTCACACTCCTTTCCCTGCTCTAGAGTTGCTTGGGCAAAATACCCCAATTCCTCCTCTACAGCACCATCTTCTGTCCGCATTGAATCACACAGGCAATTAACTTCCTGCCTCCATCCTCAAATGGGAAAATATTGCGGGAAGAATTCTGTGTAGATCAGAGGCTCTTGGCCCAGGGAATAAGGGCCTTAAAATTGTATGCAAACTTTTGAAGGTATGTATTCATGTGCCTGTGCATTTTCTGGAGGTAGTTTCCACAATTTCATCTGATTTTCTGAGGTGCAAGTTCCTGCCAGTCTTCCTAAGGACTCCCCGACCCCCCGAGTGTGTCCAGTAGCTCGCCTGTGCTTGAGCAGGGCCTGGCTGAGAACTCGGTTGAATCTCCAGCAGAGGAGATGGGCTGCGCTGTCCCTTCCCCACTCCCTGCAATGCTCTTACTAACCAACAGTGAGAGCTGAGAGAATCAGGCTTGCTCAGCACGTGGCTGGGAAAAGGGGCTCCTTTGGGTAAAAGCTTGTTGTTGCACACTGGAATTCTCCCCCGAACTCACTGCTCTAAGCTGCTATGACCACCACTCCCTAAAAACGCACATCAAACACAGCAGCACACAGAGCCTGGCGCTCTCTTCTTAAAGGATTCCAGACTGCACCTTCCGTGCCCCGGTGTGATGGCTCTGACAGTTCTTCTGACTGTCTGACTGTAATCTCTCTATTTAATCTTCCTTTTCTCTGATTTCATTTTTCAGGGACACACAGTGTGCCACTTGCTTTCCACTCTCCTTTCCTCCCACCCGCCCTCACCCACATAAACCCACTAAAAAGGATTTTTTTTTTAATCTCCCTGCTGCCTGGTTTCTATGGGGCCTAATGTCTGATTTCTCTTGGGCCCACTCTGGTCTGTGCTCTGTCCAGCAGTTTTCCTCCTGAGGTTAGCAACCCACCGTCTGCCGTGCAGACCGTGAGGCCCGTGGCCGGTTAGACCGGGAGGTCCCAGCAGAGCTGCCGAGGAAAGAGCCTGGACGCTTCGTGGAACTCGGTTCCCAGCCCCGCGGTCCTTGCTCTCGGGCTCCCTCTTGTGGTTGAGAAGCCAGAGCCGGCTGGGCGTGAGCAGCGCTGCGGCCCTCCGAGCCTTCCCCCAGGACCCCCCTTCCACAGGGCCGGAGGGGGTTTGGAGGGGAATCAGCTCCCCTTCCAGGCAACCTCTTCACAGGACTGGGAGGGGCCCCAGCCAGAGCTTCCCTCAGCGCCTCTCAGGACTGCAAACCCTCCTGTCTCAGGTTGGGCCCCAGGCCCCAAGCAGGGGTGCCCTGGGGGGGTGGACCCCACGCTGGTCACACCCGGTTGGCAAACCGCCCGGCCTCCCTGGCCATTAAGGTCACTAATTTGTGGAGAGAAAGGGACATAATGATAGTAATGATGGTGAATCACCCCTTGAACAGGTTCCAAATTTTGATTACATTTTAATTTTTTTTAAATGCTCCTTGGAACTAATGAAACAAAGAAAAGACACATTAAGTTAACTATCTGCCCCTAACCTATTGAGATGACTGATGTAAATATCCTGCTATATATGGGCAAATATAGGCATGCCAGAAAACAGATACACACTCTACCCATTCTTTTTAATAGCAGCATAAAAGGGGGACAGTATGGATGTCCTGTGACTTTAGCTCCACTATTAATATATTCAGCATGTTTCCAGGTTTTGCTGTTACAAATAGTACAGCAATATATATCCCTTTTATACTGATGCCTTTATTCCTGCTAAAGGATAGATGCCCTGTAGTGAATCGCTGCTTCAAAGTGTATATTTATTTTTAAATAGACATTGACAGTTTGGGGCTTATCCCAACAAGATTGAGGTAACTCACATTCCTACCAAATCTGTAGGAGAGGTCTCGCTTCTCAACACCCTTGCAGCCCTGAATATGTTCTCTCCTTTCATTTTGTCTGTCAAATAGGTGACAGTTATCACTGTCTTGCTTTTATGTGCTTTTCCTTGATGACAGGAGAGTTGAGCATCTTTTTATCTGTTTAGATTTCACTCCCTCCTCTGAGTCTTCGGTTTGAATCCTGGGAGCTCTTTGTTTATTGTTTACATTCATGTGTATGGTATCTTTACCATATGGAAATTTCGAATGCTTATATAATCCAACATTTCTAATTTTTCATCTGTGGCTTCTTTCTTTCTCTCTTTCTCTCTTTCTCTCTCTCTTTCTTTCTTTCTTTCTTTCTTTCTTTCTTTCTTTCTTTCTTTCTTTCTTTCTCTCTCTCTCTCTCTCTCTCTCTCTCTCTCTTTCTTTCTTTCTTTCTTTTTTAAATATATCTTTACTGATTTCAGAGGGAGGAAGGGAGAGGGAGAGAGAGATAGAAACATCAATGATGAGTCATTGATCGGCTGCCTCCTGCACACCCCGACTGGGGATGGAGCCCGCAACCCGGGCATGTGCCCTGACCGGGAATTGAACCCTGATCTCCTGGATACTAGGTCGACGCTCAACCGCTGAGCCACGCCTGGCCGGGCATGGATTTCTTGTCTTACTTAAAAACAGCTCTCTCGTCCTGCTTTTAACTGCGCTATTCAGAAAGAAAGGAAAGAAGAGAAGCTCTTCTGGGATTTTTGTTTGTTTTAGCTTGATATTTAAATTTTTTATATGCCTGGAATGTATTTGTGTTTCTGATGCAGGCATCTTCTGAGTAGATACCCAGTTATATTAACACCATTTGTTCAATAAATTCTTTTTTTCCTGTGAACTAATCTGCTGTATTTAGTCCCCTAAAACCTGGCTCCCGTGTCTGTACTCTCTAGTCTGGCCCACTGATCCGTTTGTCTCACCACTTGCTTCGGGAGCTTCAGAGCACGTTTTAATATCTGATAAGGCAAGTCCTCCACCCCTGATCTTTTCTGTAATGGTTTTTGGATAGTCTCAGGCATTTATATGAATTTTAAGATCATTTTAAGTTCCAGGAGAAACAATAATCTGTTGGGAAGGCATCCAATCTATACACTCTTGAAAGGATTTATAATTTTATGGTGGCGAGTCATTCTGTCTGGAAAAACAATGTGTTCTCCACTTATTCGGGGACTGTTTTATGCTCTTCTGTAACATTTTATTATTTTTCCCTTAGCCTTCTTGGTAAATTTATTTCCAGTATTTTATGAGCTTGGGCCCTATTGTAGGTGGAATGTTTTTCTCCATTTCCTCTTCTGTTCGTTGCTAGAATAGGAAGAAAAGAAGTTTAATTTTTATATATTTATTTCATAGACAGCCAAATTCTCTTACTAATCCCGGGGTTCATTTTTCTTGTCTTAAGCAGAGCCTCTTGGGTTTGTGTAGCTATATAATATCACGTGCAAGTAAAGAGAACTGTCTTTTTCTTTCGGTGTTGCATGTAGTCATTTTTTCTGCTTAGCCTCCAATAACCTGGGACATTTCCAGAGAGAATTTCTTTGACATTTTTGAAGAATACAGCTCCTCCCCTCACCACTTTTTTTTTTCTTTAATAGAACACTCTCCGTTGATGTTTTTGGCATATTTTTTTGTTTTTATTTATTTATTGCTTGGTCTTGCTGTATAAACTAAAATTTCCGGAACAAAATTAAGTAACAACAGTGACACAGGCGTTTCTGTGTTGCTGATTTCACTGGAAATGAAAATGGGTTTAGCATTTCACCATTTACCAGGACTTTAATGTTGTCTCCCATCAATAGTCTCCCATTCAAGGAGTTGCCTCCGCTCCTGTTTTACATGAAATTGTGTTAGAAACAGCTGCCGACCTTTATCAAACACCTTTTAAGCTCCTATTTACATAAGCCTGTGGAGTTTTTCATTTATGTTGACAAACTCCCTGTTCCTGTGAATTAGGCGGTCGGTTGTGGACAGATTCCCTAATGTTGAGGACCTAGGCCTGCAGTCACTGGAACAAACCCTGCTTGTTGTTTATGGCATACACTGATTGATTTACTGAGGAGCACTTTATAATTTCTGCATCTGTATAAGAAATTGGTCCATAGTTTTTTGAGGGCTGTGCTCTTTATCGGTTTAGGGTTGGGGGTGGTTTTCACTTCGCAGTTTTGTTTCCGTCTGATCTTTATTTTCTGTTCCCCTTAGTCCCCTGGCTAGTTCCTCCGGGGCTCGCTGACCTGCATGATGAAAGCAGGCATTGAGGTCTTGCTCCTAATTTTAAAGGGAATGTTTTATAATTATACCATTGAGTATAAAATTTCAGTAGGTTTTGGGGGGATACTTTTTGGAGTTAAGGAATTTCCCTTTTATTCTGTTTTCAGGGAGTAATCTTGTTCTTGCCCTTTTAAAAATTAAATTTATTGGGGTGACATTGGTTAATACATTATATAAATTTCAAATGTATAATTCTATAAAACCATCAGTATATTACATTGTGTACTTGCCACCAAAGCCTAGTTTCCTTTCTCACCGTATAGTTCACCCCTTTACCCTCTTCAGCCTCTCCTGACCTTAAAATATTTTTATCCACTAATAAGGAAACTGCATGAATAGACTTTCTAATATTAGACTAATCTTGAATTTCTGGAATAATCCCAGCTTGGCTTTTAGTATTTTTGTTTGTGTGTGTTTATCTCCACCTTTTTTCTTTTATTATTTGGTTTGTTTGTAACTTGGTCTTTTTTATGCATTGCTGAGCTTGGTTCTCTGAAATTTGGTTTAGGACTTTTGTATCTATGTTCATAAGCAAGATTGCCTATAGTTTTCCCACAATTCTCATTTTAGCATCAAAGTTACGCTTGCCTCATAAAATGAACGAAAAGCCATATTTTTTCTTCCAGTCTTTTGAAAAGCTTGAATAAGTTTCAAACTATTTGTTCTTTAATTGTTGGAATTTTCTGGTAAAACAACCTGGGACTGGTGTTTTCTTCATGGAAAAATTTAAACTATTTATAACACCTTAAGGGTTGTAGGAATGTTCTGACTTCCTGTTTTGCTTTTCATTGGTTTTGGTTTGGGTTCAATTTTGCTAGGGCTTTACTCATTTCATCTAAGTTCTGAAATATATTGTATAAAGTTGTTCATAATTCCTTGTATCTTTTAAATATTATTAGTATAGCTACTTTTCACTTTTTTATTCCAACAATTATTTATTCATGCCTTTTCTCTGTTTTTTTCAACCAGTGCTGCCAGGGATCTATTTCATTAGGCTGTCAAAGAACCAACTGGCTTTGCTGATCTCTATTACACATTTGCTTTCTGTGTTAATAATTCTGCCCTTTTATTGTTTCTTCTATGTTCGTGGGGTTTTAATGCTGTTCTTTTTTCTTTTTAGCTTCCTCAACCTTTTATCTTTTTAATATAAGCATAAAGCTTTAGATGCATCATATCTATGTTGCTATATAGTTCTCATTATTTTTTAGTACTGTTTTCTAATTCTGATAAGTTCTTCTACATTTAGAATGCTTTTAAATGTCCAAACGAATGAAGCTTTTCTGTCTTTTGCTATTAATTTCTATCTTCCTCTGGTTATGATCAGAAAACATGGCCCAGCTTGATGTGTTGTATGGGTCATGGCACAAGCGATGCCTTTTCGATCTGTCATTTCAGTTTTATTTCCTCTAATGTCCAAGGAGTCTTTTAAAAAGTACTTTGATTTTCTAGAATATTAGAAACTTTGTGGGAAGGGATGTTGTCTTTTTACCATTTATTTTTATTGGATTAAGATGATGACTTAATCCCTGTTCAGCAATCTGGGGAGCAAGGTGAGGGAGCCTGGCCGATGCTCTGCAGTGTTTCCCCTGGGAAGAAAGTACAGGTACAGGGCTTAGCTGTCTTGGTGCTGATGAGAGCTGAGGACCAGTGTCAGTGTGGAGGGTCTGCTTTCCCAGCCCAGCTTCCCTGACCCAGCTCACAGCCTCCTCTAGACGTGAGTAAAGATTGGGAACCTGGTCCCTCGCGTGTGCACAGTGTGTTCACTATTAGTCCCCAGGGGCAGGAACCACTGTGCTGTCCAAGAGACCTAAATAGCCACAATATCTGCTAAATTTTATTGAGCTGGCACGAGGTGCTGGGCACCAGTTAATGTTTTTACATATATTATCTCTTTTTCTTCCCATAGCAGCCCTGTGAAGTAGGTATTATTATTATTACTGTTATTATTATCATCCCCATTTTAAAGATGAGAAAACTAAGGCTCAGAGACATTATGTAACTGCCAAAGGTCACACAGCTTCCAAGCATCAGAGCTTTGATTCTAACTCTGAAGTTGGTGCTCCACTCACCAGGTACACTGCCTCCTGAAAAGAGTTCAAACTTGCCCCTTCCTGGCCCTTCAAGTTTGCTTCCAAGAGCATCTGAGCACAAGAGGGGAGAAAGAAGCTTGGGACTGGGTGCAGGAGGGACGGGCAGGGGACAGGAACTTCGCCTCTGGTCTCAGTGTTGCTCTGGGCTGCTCTCCCTTCCTGCCAGTTCGCCCAGTATGCTGAGATCGTCAACTTCACCCTCCCCGATGGGACTCAAAGGAGCGGGCAGGTGCTCGAGGTGTCTGGGACAAAGGCAATTGTGCAGGTGAGTGGTGTCAACGAGAGGTTGGCTGGCTGAATAAATGCATAAACCCACAAAGTTCCCACATTATCAAATAAGCTCCAAAGGCAGGAAATGCCCCATTTTCCTGGGAGCACCTTGCCCAGAGATGGGTATAAATGGGAGAAAGGAGGCCTCATTCTCTCCAGCAAGCCCCTTATTGGAGTCACTGACCTCTTGTCCCATAGGTGTTTGAAGGGACCTCTGGGATTGATGCTCGGAAGACCACCTGCGAATTCACTGGGGACATCCTGCGGTCTCCAGTGTCAGAGGACATGCTGGGTGAGGGGTGGGGTGGGACAAGGGTGGGTGCGCTCCTCTGTCCTGCCATCCAATGTCTCAACCAAGCGTTTAGCACGCTGCATTGTCACTGCCTGTTTGCATGTCAGCCTCACCTGTGAACTCTGAGATCAGGGGTTGTGTTTCCTCTCTTTGACCTTCGCCCCCAGCTCAGGGCCTGACTTATATTCAGCAGGGGTTCAATAAATGAGGAAAGCAGCCTCAATAAACTAGAAGCACAGTAGGTGGCCATCTCCCGGGGATCAGCCTGAAATGGACTGCACATCCCCTAATTTTCTCCCGAGATCTGCTCCACCTGGCCCTCTCCTCTTTCGAGCATCCAAATCACCCCATTAGAGTAGTTGTTCTGGGCCAGGACCTTGCTTATGAAGATTTCCAGGAAAGAAAGGAAGACTCCCAAGCAGACAGTCACTGTAGCCAGCTCTGGGGGTAACCAAGGGTTGAGAGGGAAGGAGACACAGGGCATTTGGGATGTGGGGGGCAGGTGGGAGCTGGTGGTGCTGTGGAGGCTGAGCAGCAGTGGGAGACCCAGGGCTGGCCCTGGGCATTTTTCAACACCCGCTGTCCGCCCCCAGGTCGGGTTTTCAATGGTTCTGGCAAACCCATTGACAAGGGACCGACAGTCATGGCGGAGGATTTCCTGGATATCAATGGTGAGTGACCGGAGGCTCTGGATGGCTTTCAGGGTCCAGCCCTCAGCCACCTTCCCCATCCCCAGTCATCACTTCTGCCACCTTGCCCTGGGAAATCCTGCACCAAACACAAGCCAGGGCTCACCTCCAGGGCTGATCACGTGTGACATGAGAGCAGCAAAGGCCTCTCTGTCCCCAAGAGACACAGAGCCAGAAACACTGCTATCAGTACTCCATGTCCAGTTCCTGTAAAATGCCATCATCGTTGTGCAGGATTCCATGTGTGTCCCAAGACCACCACTCTCCTGCCTTCCAGTTCCCTGTCCCCACCCTTGAGAGCTGGCTTGGGTGGCTTGTGCAAGTAGACACAGCCCCTCCCAGGCTCTCAGCCATTCAAAGTGGGGCTGGGCTGTCCTGAGTCCTCCAACCCTGTCATATCAGTTTACCGAGGATGTGATGGAGGTCCATGGGAGTCCTTGGCTGGCTCAAGGCCACACAGCAAGTCAGAGGCAGAGCACAGGACACATATACACTCAAACAGGAGGTCTCTGAGCCACCTCAGATCATTCTGACCCTGCCTAGCACCTGCAAGTCGTGAGGAGGGCCCTGGCTCTGACTGCGAGGCCCTCAGCCTGCCCTCCCACCTGCCTGCCACTTCCAATGCACCAGGGCAGCGTGTCCAAGGGGGCACTGGACATGTGGCTACTTCAGTACAAATTCATAAATGCAATAAAATGTCATTTCAAAACCACATTTCATGTGCTCAATAGCCCCATGTGCCTAGGGCTATGTATTAGGCCGCGCAGTTAGAGCCCATTTCCATCAAGGCGGAGAATACTGTTCATAGTGTTGCTCAGGAGGCAGAGGAGGGTTGGGGCGGGCAGGGGAGGACTTGAACCCTTGAGCATAGGTCTATGGTTGCCATCTCCCAGGCCAGCCCATCAACCCCTACGACCGCATCTACCCTGAAGAGATGATCCAGACGGGCATCTCTCCCATCGATGTCATGAACAGCATTGCCCGTGGTCAGAAGATTCCCATCTTCTCAGCAGCTGGGCTCCCCCACAATGAGGTAAGGCCTGTGGGCACCTGCAGGCACTGCCAAGGGCAAGGGACAGAGCGGAGCCTGGCTGGTGGGTGAGGGGGGAGAGCTCCTCTGCTGAGTAGGCAAGGGTCGGCCAAGCTGGGGTCATCAGCATACAGATTGGCAGTTGTCCTCTGCCAACTCAGGGACTCAGGGCTGCACAGGACCTCCTCCTTGTCCCCAAGCAGATCTTCAAGCCTCTGCCCAAGTGAGTGGGGTACTCACCAGCTCATGAGAGAGCCCATGGGTAGCCCCAGTGTTGACAGTCCTGCTCAGGTGACAGCTCTACCCACTGGTCCTTGTCATGGGCTTTACTTCCTGCACAAATGAACCCCTCTCATGCCAGTCCCATGGCCATCTGAAGCCTCCCTGTGCAGGTTCTTGCCCCACTCCTGCCACCACAAGTGCAGAGCCCTGTTCCTCTCAGAGTAGCTGGGGTGACAAAGTTTCTTCCCCTGACCATCTCCCCACCTGACGACTCCTGGATGTGCCCCAGCTCACCCTCAAAGTGGCCTGAGTGATCAGAAGACATAAGCATCCCCGTTCTCCACCCTACACACACACACACACACACACACACACACACACACACACACACACACACACACCCCAATCTGTGTGCTGACTCCACACAGTGAGGCCTAGGGCAAGTCTGTGCCCAGATAAACCCCAGCAGGTTGGGGGGAGGTGCAGGGGTTGTGAGGGCCTAGCTGCCCCAAACCCCTGCTGAGGCCCTTGCCCTTTGGAACTGCTATTCCACTTGCTGCCCTTGACAGGCACCTTCGGCCCTTTAGCAGCCACAGAACAGGGCAGTGTCCCCCGTGAGAAAAGCTGTAGGCCCTGGGGTGGCCCTTTCATCCCCGTGGGCCCCTCCCACTAAAGGCCCTGGCAGGAGAGCAGACTGGGAACAGCCCATCCTCTTCAACGGCTCTGGGTGTAGGGCTCTGACATCCCTCCTCCTAACCCCGTGCACCCCAGATTGCTGCCCAGATCTGCCGCCAGGCTGGGCTGGTGAAGAAATCCAAGGCCGTGCTGGATTATCACGACGACAACTTTGCCATTGTCTTTGCGGCCATGGGGGTAAGAGGGGCTGGCCAGGTGGGCAAGTTCTGGAAGCTGTGGGTGAGTGGCCTTGTCTCCCTAGGCCCCTAGGGAGTGTGACTGAAGGGATGTGGTGGCACCCCTTCATGACTAGAGCAGTGTGTCCCTCAAGACACCCCAAAGACCATGGAAGCTATAAGACGAGCCCAGGGTGGCCTGGAGGAAGGGAAACTAGAAAATTTGAGGAGACAAGACAGCTTTAGGAGGCAGATACAAAAGCCCAAGGTGTGGGGGGTGGTCAGGAAGTTAATGGGAAGCAGCTGGCCAAGGAAGGGGAGGAATGGGACTGAGCAGGGCTCAGCCTGGAGAAGCTGAATCTCTCTGGGCATCGAATGAGACCCTACCTGGGACTGGGCAGCAAACCAGCACTGCCCTCTCAAGCTCCAAGGTCACCCCAGTGACCATGGCACCTTCATGCCCAGTCCATAGGCTTTACTGAGAAGAGATAGGAGGGGCCTGGGCCCCTGTCCTCAGGCCACAGGGCCCCGCCTCCCGCCCTCCCTGTTGTGTGTCCAGGTGAACATGGAAACAGCCAGGTTCTTCAAGTCCGACTTTGAGCAGAATGGTAGCATGGGGAACGTCTGTCTGTTCCTGAACCTGGCCAACGACCCCACGTGAGTCCTCCCCTGGTGCCCATACTGCCTTGTCCCCTGCAAAGACCCAGAGTATCGGGGCTCACGGACTTCCCAGAGCTGCAGCCATGGGCCAGGGCTGGGAGAACCACCCCTTGTTGTGCAGATGGGGAAACTGAGGCTGGTAAGGGGTAGGAATAGCCCACAGAGAGACAGAGGGAGCCGGACCACCATCCCGCCTGCTGCCTGCAGTCCTGCTCTTCCCACAACCTGCGCTCTCTCAACCACTGTCCCAAGTCAGGGCTCCTCATCCTCAAGTCGCCTCCACACAGTCACCACTAAAGAGATATTTCCCTAAAGCATTTGTTTAGAAAAACTGCTATTTTAAAGTTTAGAAAATGTGAGTTTAAATCTGGGGGTCAAGTGGATGGAAAAAAACAACTCTAATAAACTGTCCTGGGTGTGGAGTGTACTCCAAAAACTAAGTAACAGAATTCTGGAGGCCGCAATGACATCACCAAAGGAGAGACCCACAGGCATCTTGCCCAGGGACTCAGGAATGCTCAAAATGGAGCAGGGCAGCCAAGGCAGAACAGTCACGCTAAGTGTGCTCGGGAACCGTGAGAGGACCTGTAAGGAAAGAACCCTGGAGACACAGAGTGACAGTGCTCTGGCTGACCCAAGGGCGGCTGCCCTGGGGAAAGCGGGAGCTGGAGCAGAAGCCCCGACCACCTCCCCCTGATATGCCAGAGTCTGTCACCTTCAGGCCACAGATTGGGCACTGTCATCCTCATCAGACACTCCTAGTCCTTCCTGTCCCACTCTCATCCAGTCCCCCCACGTCTGTTTCTTTCCTAAGGTGGACCACAGGGCCAGAGTGTGGGACCTGGTTGAGTGCCCACTCCCAGGAACCACAGCCCTGATCTGGGGGCTGGGAGCAGGGGTTCATCATAGCCACTCCTCTGCTGCTATGCACATTCCCAGCTTCCCAGTTCCCTTTCCACTCGATACTGGAGCTAAACAGAGCACAGGCACTCTAACCATTGACTGTCTCCAGGATCGAGAGGATTATCACCCCTCGCCTGGCACTGACAGCGGCTGAATTCCTCGCCTACCAGTGTGAGAAGCACGTGCTGGTCATACTGACTGACATGAGTTCCTACGCCGAGGCCTTGCGGGAGGTGAGGTGGCTGGTGAGGGGGTGTCAGGTCATCCCAGCCCCTGCACCCCAGAGCTCACCCAGGCCTGTCCCCAGTCCATTTCTCATAGTCACTGAGCCTCCCATTCACCATTCCTTGTCTCAGCCTCTCAACCTCCTTCTCACCCCAATGCCCATGTATGTTGCAGGTCTCAGCTGCCAGAGAGGAGGTGCCTGGGCGCCGGGGCTTCCCTGGATACATGTACACAGACCTGGCCACCATCTACGAGCGGGCAGGCCGAGTGCTGGGGCGGGGTGGATCCATTACTCAGATCCCCATCCTCACCATGCCCAATGACGGTGAGCCCCCTCACTGCCCACTGCTCTCCGCACCCCCTGCCCTCCCTTCCCACCCTGACGCTTAAAGGGCCCATGCTTCTTCGCATAGGTGTGCAGTAGCTCGGTTGCCCCCACCTACTCCTATCACCCCCATGATGGGAAAAGAACCCAGATGCCCTGAGTGAGTGGAGACCTGGGCCCCATCTACACTGACACCAGCGAATTTCCTCATAGATATCACTCACCCGATCCCAGACCTGACAGGCTTCATCACAGAAGGACAGATCTATGTGGACAGACAGCTCCATAACAGACAGGTACTGTCCCCTCCCCACCCACCATCTGCTCTCTCCACCACGCCCGTGCTTCATGTCTCGGTGCATTAGGAATGGCCAAGCAAGGCTAACCCCAAGCAGGAGATAACCCCCAGGAGGACTGTGTGGTTCACAGACGGAGAAGACAGGTCTGGGTAGAGTCCAGCCTACCTGGCCACGGGGACCGGAGAGGATAATTCACCTCTCTGATCATAGGTTTCCTCTTCTCTAAAATGGGAATAAAAACACTTATCAGTTACATTTTGGAGGGTAAAAGAAGTTGGCATACAGAGCACATCTGGCGGATAGTAGATACTGAAGAAATATCACCTCTCTTCCCTTTCCAGTAACTTGCTCTGGTGGACAGGAAACCATGGGTAACTGACACAGTAGATGGCGGATCATGTGCCAATGGTTAGAAAATGTGCCTGTGCCCCCTGAGGTTAAAGGCAACCCCTGTGACTTGTTCCCCCTTTGCTTGGCAGGTTCTCTCTTTCTAGCTATTGAGCTTCAACATGGTTTTGTCCAGCAATCAAAGGTTTTGAAATAGTGCTGCTTTCATTAACTGACACCAGGTCATCTCCCCCCACACATGCAGACACCTACACACCCAGAGATGAATGAGGACCCCTGACAACCAGGGGGTGGGGGAACAAGCAGGGTGGGAAGGAAAGGAAAGCCTGGACCCTGCCTTCTGCCACACCTTCTGCTCCCCCAGATCTACCCCCCCATCAACGTGCTCCCTTCCCTGTCGCGACTGATGAAGTCGGCCATAGGCGAGGGGATGACAAGAAAGGACCACGGAGATGTCTCTAACCAGCTGGTGAGAG